GGAACTCCCTCATGCCATGCAGATGAGAGTCGGTACAGTGCATCCCCGAGATCGATACCCAGTATCGGCTACGAGATCTGGGCAAGCAAACCAGCAGCCTCCCGCGTCTCCCACCATCACCCGACCCTTGCCGTTGCCGCTCTCAGCCAACCAGAGACAACCACCGTGCCGACAAGAGCGCCATGTGCAATCCCGACCGGCCTGGAGAGGCGTTCCGGTGACCCAGATCCAAAGTTGGTGACGGCGATGGCGATGGCGATGCATATTGCACGACAAAAGAACCAACCATGACAACACAATATACGCCATTTCATGCACTTCGTAACAAGCAAACATCAACCCCGCCCTGGCTGGTCCGTATCGCTTCACGAACCAGCACGCATCCATCTTCCCTAGATATGCACTTGGACCATCCAACAACACAGCGGCCTCAGACAAGCCAACAATGGACTACGGTGCCATCTTCTATCTAGCCTGATCCCGTGCGAACGTGCCCATGAAGCTCGGAGCTTTCTGCACCCAGCTTGCCTTCCTACGTCCATAGGGTAGTATAGTCGCCATCACAAGCGCTAAACCCAACCATGTACGGTGCGCTGTCACTCTTGCTCGGCGTTGCGACAAGCATGCATCAACCAACAAAGAGCCCGTTGGCTGGTGGCGTGCAGCGGTTGTCGTCCTTGCCAGCCCTAGACACAGACTGTTGGCCTATCGCATGGGCCGCTCTGCGCTGGGAGAGGCCGTTGTATCGCCGGAGGAATCGGTACCTGCAGTGGGCGCAGAGTCCGCGTGGTTGCTCTGGCTAACATGCTACTCTAGCGCAAAGTGTCTGGGGGATCGTCGTGCTGGCCATTGCGAAACCGCAGAGCAAAAAAGAGCAGCAAAGCCTAGCAATGAGTAACCCGAGAGACACGACTATCCAGGATTCTGGCCCAGAGTTCGCAGCTGTGACGGAACCGGCCTCGCACTGCATTCTCACCATATCAAACAAACTCAGCCAGCAGGGGGCGTCTGGGAACCGGGATGCCGTCAGCCGCCGCGCCAGGGCCAGCAAGTGATCACGCTGCCCTTTGCCATCTGAGCCAGTTGAGCCAGTCGGAGTGCGGACTACTCGAGGAGTGAGTTAAACAGATAGGCGACCCGAACCAAGGGCACTCGAAGCAGCATGCAGACTGTATTCTGGACTGAATATCCATCCGGCACGTCCCTTCAAAGGACGACAGGCACCACAGCTACAACGCCTCTTCCTTACAATACGGAGTACATCTCGGACGTCAGGCTCATGAAGACACCATGGCCCCTGTCGACCTATCAGTCAGCACCCGGGCTTCCGTCTCGCCTGGTCTGCACTCCTGTGTATGATGTGCACCCCGTTCCGACGGAACCCCAACTCAACTCTTGGGGCGCAGCAACTTGAGGCGACACCTGACAAGGAGCCTTCATGACAGTTCCTGAAGAGCCAATCGCAAGTTGAGGATGCGTTTGACAACGTGAACAATCCCATCTTTGGTTCCGATCAACCTCAGATCAACCATACCGTGGTCGCACCTTACAGCCAATCGCAATTCTTGTTTACCTAGATCTCACGAACCTTCCAGCCCTTCTTCGAGCTGTCATGCACACGCCTTGAGCCGTTTCTGGGACCTGTCAAAGGGATTGTGAGCAGAAAAAACATCGTGGGACCCCAGGCAATACCGTCGCAAGGATTCGCCACGGCCGCCAGGGCAAAACATTGATGCTACTCGGAACCTGCCACTTCCTTTCCAGCCACAGACAGGCCCAGTCAATTGTGGTGCTGACCGGGGCCACAGGATCACCGCGGTAGATCTACGTTTTTGACAGCTCTCCCTCGCGCGGACGGCTTCGGCTCCGGAGGCGCTGCCTGTGTACCCTGCGACAGACGACAGACTCGGCCCCTTCCTGGAGTTGAGGCTTGACGATTGAGGCGCCAATACCCTGATTAGCCTGCTTCCGAAAAAAGGTCTTCTACCAGAAGTTGAAACGGTAGTCAACGGTCTTGACCAGAATGCACCTAGTGCGTCTCTCTGACTCGGTGGTTCTCTCAGCCCTGAGTGCATCCTTAAGAACGCAAAGGCGTTGCTGAAGAAAAAAAAAATTACACATTCTGTGGGCGGCTTACAATTGGCGACGAATAGAACATGGAGCCAGAAAGAAGGCGCCTTGAGCCGCATGACACTCTGCACCTCGATGCTTTGCGGGGAGAAAGACCGGGGAGGGGGGAGGGTTGAGTGACAAAAGTTACACTTGTCAAAGTTTGATCATCACCAATCGCAGACCAGCAACTCTGCTCAAATGGATGCTCCGTTTTGAAGTCAGGCCTGCAAACACTTCCCGATAAGGCAAATGTCAGAACGATCCGATAGCTAGACGTGGCCCGTCATGGACAGCCGCGCCGCATACATGGCACGCAACTGTTCCAAAACACTCGGACGGAAGAATAGCATCCAATGGTGAATGTCGTTTCAGTCTACATCGGTTGTCCTTGAGTCGAGGTGCCATGACTTCTGTTGACAAGCACAGCCACCATCATCGAATGTTGCGGACGAGGCATCAAGCCAACTTGGAAGCTCAGCGACTGGTTGAACCCAAGAACACCCAGACACACCCACGAGGGAAGTTTGGGGCACGTCACAGACGTCAGCTGCGACCGGGCGATTGACGGGTGGCTTGAAGAGTCAAAGGCAAAGGGAAAACAACAACAGAGTTCATCGGCTTGGTTTCTTCAACCCAAAGCTTGGGAAAGCTTGGGATGGACGTTTGAATCGTGTTCCCTGCCCTCTCACTCGTCGACAGACTCGCGCGGCTATGTCAAATACTTGAGCCTGCGACGCTCGCGGACCTTATTCAGGACTCGCACAAGAATGCGATGCCTGAATAGCGTTAGGATTGGGCTGAAGGGGGTGGGCGTGTCAGCGGCGGATGGCATAGCCGCTCTAGCGCACAACTCAACCTTTGCTTGCTTACCTCTCCTCCCATCCAGGAGACTTCCGGACCCGCCCTATTGTTTAGGATAGCTGTTGGACAGTAATTTTGGGGGAGGGGAGGGGGCGTGGACGGGATCGAGAAAAGACAAGCAGGGGAGCGCCATCACGTCAGGGCTCCCCTGGCTGCTACTCTCCTGGCCTACCCCCCCAGTCCCCCCCTCCATGAAAACATCGTCTGTCCATCCATTCACCTCATCCGCAGGCACACTCGTCAAACACACCACCAATTTGACACCAGACATGCACACACGCGCACATTGGCATACGAGCTCGAACCGGAACTTCAACAACCAGTTGCAGAACTATACGCCCATTGCAGCTTTGTGACACACCACCATTCGCTTTCGTGACGGGAGTTCCCTTTCCTGTCAAGATGTCTCCAAGTCATGACATGTTGGACGTATGCCTGACAGTGTTGAGAGTTGTCTCACTCCCTGACCATGTGCACAAAAAAGCAAGCTGCTGGTATTTGCAGAATTAACGGCGCCTCCCTGGGTCGAGGGCGCGAGCACGAGCGATGGATTCCGCCCATCAACAACAAGATGCTAAATCGAGAGATTCGAGAGCTCGAGAGTTACTAGTCCTCTTCTACGGCTACGTTGACCAGTCTTCAAGAGCCGATTGCTCACGGACGATGAAGGTTGGTCAAGCAAGAGGTTCAGGAAAATTCAGGACTCCCGCTGTCTTCTATTTTGGACTGCTGAGCTCAGACGGCAGTTGTTCGGCGGGTCAAGAACGCCATCTTGAATAATAGGATAATTTCTTGGGGGTGATCGCTGTATTGCCGTTCACGACATCCGGGACCTTGATTCTCAAGGTTTGAGGGTGGTGGATGGAGCCGACAGGGCCTTGACTGCTCGCCCTTTATCGCTTTCGTTAGACTTCATCTTTCTTTCGGTAATGCTATGGGCACTCATTCATGTCAATATTGGACAGAATCTGTCGTATACTGAACCCATCTCCGGTTCACCATGTTCCCTCGCTCAACCTGCTCCGATCAGGAAATGACGGCCAGCCGGGTCAGAGACCGTTACGTACCAGAGTAGGAACCAGGCCACCAGTGCCGACCCCCGGTCTGGTTGATGGGGGCTTATTCTTCTTTATGTCAATTGTGCAAATCTCTATTTTATCCTCGATTGTTATACAAATACGGAGTACTGCCTACGGAGACGGGAGTCTTATTCACTTTAATCCATCATAGGACCTGAGCGCGGCCAGAGCGTTACAAGCGACAATGAAGGGGCTTGGCTGGGAGGGTGAGGTAACCTGTTGAAGCCAGCGCGCCAGTTGCATATGTGATGGCACGTTGAATAGTGTATCCGTAGCAGGTAGTCAAGTCGTTGGAGTAATGCAGCGCCATTGACTCTTGAGTGAGTACTCCGTACCAACTGAAGTATCTCCATATCCATAATCCGCCGCCGCCGCGCGCGCCCCCCCCTTCGGGCAATTTCATCTACACTACATCACAACCGTCCTGGCCCCGGGTGGGAACCACGAGCAGCCGGGGAGCACAAGTAGACCCCTGCCCACAGACGCTACGGCTTCCCTAGTGGCTCTTTTTCGTGTCACTGTTCGAGCAGGCTAGTGCTTCTCCCATCTCTTCCACTCTTCTTCTTGTATCCTGGTCACTTTCTTTCTCGTTCAGACCCCTATCCATGTTGTCCTGCTGGCACATCCTCAAGTACCACCTCGAGCTAGCATAATCAGTCCGTTGCCCGCCAAAGGGAACGCCACCGAAGCAATCCTAGGACCAGGCCCTGACTGGGTGTGGGTACGGACGGTGTGGTCCTGCGACCCTGGTCGAGATGGGCAATCCCCATCCTCCTTCTTGTTCCTCATCGACGGCCTGCTTGTACCCTGATCGTCCTCTTGCCATGCCACCCTTGCCCATGCCTCGCAGCTCTGGGCTAGTTCAGGTTTAGTCTGTTCCGTCAAAACCATCCTCCCTCCCCCACATCAGCAAAGGCCTCGTTCCCAGATACATAGCAAGGCATTAAGCATCCGTGGGCTGTGCGCTTCTTCCTCTCCAGCCCAGTCCAGTTTACTTTGCTCTACTACGGATACCTCACAAGCACAAGTCTACCACCTACCAACCTACTCTCAGTCAAAGTCTCCACGGTCCGATTCACAAGAACCTACTAGTTGGGGGCTCTTTCGTCTGAGGCTGGTTCGTGTCAGTTTCAGTGTGCTCAAATCACCGTCTTAATTTGACCAATTTGGCCCGTCGCCGGGTCCTCCTCTTCCTCCTCCTCGACACTTCTCTCCCATTTCCTATTTTGGCACCACATCTGTGCACCGCTGCCCGTTAATCTTCCTGCACAAGACCTCTTCCCAAGCTCCAAGATATACAAAAGGACTGCCATCCCACCTTGCATCTACCTCCAGCATCACCGACCATCATCCCATTCGAGCTGCTTGTTGATTCACGGCTGGGACCACTTGACCATCACATCAGCATCCTTTTATCGCTTCTACTTCTTCACGCCTCTGTCTGTCGTTGACGAGCAATAACAATACTACTACTACCATTCGACCTCGCCGCCGAACAAGCTTCATCAAGCAAGATACAATAAGCAATCGTTCTCCGACGTACCACTTTCACACAAGAAAAAACGAACTTTCCTGGCTGGACCGTATTAGGTACAGCTTACTCGCATACCTTTCTCCACATAGAAACCTGGGCTGATCAGCAGCAGTCCTTAAAACCGCCGTGCGGCTTCATCATTCGAGTCCGCCAATCTTCTTTTTAACCCACAGGATCGAGCACCCAAAGTGTCTCGTCCGCAACGGTCGTGTCTAAAAGACTTTCATTCTCAAAGAGAACAGCACAAGATGTCTATGCTCGCCATGGCTGCTCCGTCCCCCCATTCAGCATTCAAGAACTACCCCTGGGATGGCGGCAGGTCTTCCTCAGACTACTCCTCGCGCCCTCGTACTGAGCCCGAGAGAATTGCCTTGCCATCAATTCGTCAGGTATGACGATTCTCGCCGCCCACAGAGGCGTTTGAACACCCAACTGACTAGTATACAGGCCATCCCAGAACTCCACCTTCGCCTGCAACCCCAGGAGGCATCAACCACCAGAACTACCTCTTCCAACACCTCGCCAACAGTAGGATATGCTGGTGTCATGACGCCTCCCGAGTACGTTCACTCGCCAAACTCAAACAAGAGGAGGAGACTCTCAATCGACGAGGAGCAGGAGAGCGAGAGAGTCAGCCGTGTCCCAAGACTTTACGAGTCTCCTGCCCGTATTCCTCAACACCAAATTTCCCCGCCAGTCCCTTCCCGCGCTGCCACTGAGAGCTGGACTGGATCCGCAAGGACGAGCCCTTACATGTCTTCATCTGGCATGCCTTCCATGAGATCCCCCGCCATGGAAGTCAACGAGCGTCTCGAGTCTCGCCCAACACTTCCCAGCCTCCCGCCCATGAACTTCGAGAGGGAATCGATCCCCATGCAACGTGTCCGCGGCCACTCCCAAGACGAGTTCCAGCCCATCCGCCCTTCCATGGCCATGTCTTCAGGACCCATGATGGAGGCCGCTCCTTCATACCGCCCCAGCGGATACGCCTACGGATACCACCACCCCAGCCGAGTCCAGTCTCTTTCCCTCGGCTCCATTCATCCCTTCGACCGCACACCATTCTCAGCCGCCGGCTACGGTCACTACCCTGAGTTCATGCGCATCGGAGAGCTTGGAGCCATGGGAATGCACGGTGACAGCAAGCAACGCAAGCGCCGTGGCAACCTGCCAAAGGAGACGACTGACAAGCTGCGTGCTTGGTTCGTCGCTCACCTGCACCACCCCTACCCCACGGAGGACGAGAAGCAGGAGCTCATGCGTCAGACCGGTCTGCAGATGAGTAAGTTTACACTTTTCAGAACCCGTTAGGTGTGGGACCAAAAAACGCTAATCTTTTTGCCTCTAGACCAGATCTCCAACTGGTTCATCAACGCCCGGCGCCGTCAGCTTCCCACCATGATCAGCAACGCCCGTGCAGAGTCCGACGCCATGTCCAGCCGCAGCGGCGAGAGCAAGATCCTCCCGTCGACAGAGCGCAGCGAGTACGACGACGGCAAGCGCAACAGCGTCCCCCTCAGCGATGGCGAGGCCTTTGACGAGGACATGGACCTGAAGCAACGGCGCTCTGCCCACATCAAGAGGGGGAGCATTTAGAAGAAAACGCCTCTTGAATCATCCGAGACAAAGAAACAAAAAACGTCAAACAAAAAAAATACTGCCAACGCCCAAGACAAAGGGCGACCTACTGCAACTCAAGAATTCTTTTATCACTATACCAGACGCGCGCTTCATTCTATCTTATCATCATTAACGACGGACCACGACCGCAAAAGACCCAACCACAACAAAATTCGGCAAAATCAGGGGCAAATTTTTAATATTCATGAGCTTTGTATAAAAAACATTACCACCAGGAGTTGATGGGATCAAGTCCCTCCTCCTGGAAAGCACCCTTTTCTACGTCGACTGTATCTATGGGGATAATGTATTCTTACACACAACACACAAGAAAAGGCGACTTGGGGGTTTTACATCACAACACACACAAATGGGACAACTTGGGGCGGAATATGGAAGGGGAATAGGGGGGAAACCGGATTGGGCTGGTCGGACAGACAAATCTGCATAACAAGTTTTTCTGGACAAATGTTTTATTTTTTTCACAACTGGGGTGGGAGGTGTTTCATGGGCTGGGCAAAGGGGTCAAACATTTTATTTCTCTTTCTCTTCAACCCAAAGAGCCAAACCAGAGGCTTGAGCTTCTCTTCATCACAGGATACGTAGAACGATATCATTGTAACAAATTCTCTCTATTTAACTGTCTATGAGCCTACACACAAAAAGGATGTCATTCTCTTGTATATAGTACAAAAACATTTCAAGATCACATTTCTGAACCTACATCTCCAGATCTACTGCTGTGTCCAACATTCAGAAAGATTAACAAGTTTTTTTTTCCCCTTCGTTTGTATTCCTGCATAGTCCACCTGGTGAACCCAACAGCCCGGCACCATAGGAAAGCAAGACAGCCCTGCCTCAGAGTAAAAGGGGGTGGTGTATCAGTGTCTGATGCGCGTGTTTCTTGACAGTGACAGACAAACATGTTCCCTTCTGTCACATCCCTCTGTGTTGATGCATTCTTTTCAAAACAAACAAACAAGCCGGTAGAGGCTTGCAAGTCCACGGGCCTCTTTTTTCCGGTTCTTCAGCTGAACGGAAAGTTAAGAGATAGTGAATAATCCAAGCGCAATGTTTACATTTTGCACGTAAGATCCAACCGGACACAACAAAACATAAATCACCACTAACACTGTAACTTTCTACAACTAGGCAACTAAATAAGAAATCAAGAGGTTGGGTTCAGAGATACGTACGTATGTGTGTGTGTGTGTGTGTGTGTGTGTGTGCATGTATGTGCATATGTACGAGTGTATGTGTTCGAGCATCAAGCAACAAGAAACATGAAAGGTCTGTGTGGTTTCCCGGTTCCTGGATGACAAGTCAAAACCGAAAGGCACTCCCACCCCTCCCCTCCTTACCTTGCCTTACGAAAGGCCTGGCTGGCTATATGCCGTGGTATTCCGACAACGTCACACGCATGGTGTTGGGTCTTGTTTTTGCTGCTCTCCACATCCATCCAACCCGGGTACTTTCACCGTGCTCATCACCTTGCCTTAGTCGAGGGCTGAAGGAGGAGGAGGGAGGGCTGGTAAGGCCCCCTTCCCAGGGCTGCGTGTATGTGTGTATGTGCGGGTGTGCGTAATGCGTTTTGCGTATCGCTGTGCATTTGCGTTCACCCGTGCGAAGTTGTTGCTGGAAAAAAAAAATGCAAACATGGAGAAACTTGGGAGGCGTGTGAGAGAGAAACGGGCGGCGACCCGAGATCCTGGGCGGCGAGCTCTTAGTCCCGCGGAAAAGGGCCCGTCCGTTTACCGCTTTGCCCCTTCAAACTACCCCCGTTTCCCGCCTTTTTGCCGGTGCCGTTGTGACCAAGATGTCGATGATATCGTTATTCTGTGCGCGGCGGGTGAATGTTTCTCTTCAGAGACTTACGGTCAAGGTGAAAGGGCGGACTACTGCAATCGCCTCTTCCCTCAATCTCAGTCTCTGTGTGGTTTTCCCGCCGTCACCGCCGCTTGGCCTCTTTTCCCCCTCCGGTTGCTCCGTCATTACACACGGATTCTGCAGCGGGCGGGCCCTTTTTTCTTCGAGGGGCTGAGGGTTGAATGAATAGTCGTCACGCAAGAAAAAGGCGGGATGGAGACAAGATCAGACACCGTAAACGCACGTGTGTGTTGACGAACCCCAGCAACAATTCTCCGAGATTGATAGAGAGCGGCCGCCCTCTTGGTGTTAAATAAATTGTTAAGCTGACCGAGTTTCTTCAACCAAGGCCACCATCTCTTTCTCTAGTGTCCCTCTTAGAGCTCTTTTTTGGTGCCGGGCTAATTAATGTCTGCTTGCTAAGTTGACTAGTCTGATGTTGTAGTTCGTCGTTGGACACCCCCCTCTTTGGAATTATCCCGCCATTTCGTTGTGACAACAAGTCCGCCTCTTTTTTTTTTTTTTTATTCCAACGCGATTAGTTTGTGTGGAGAAGGTCCAAAAACTTCTGCAAGCACATTGCATCACATTAGGTGGCTCATGTGGGCAGCAAAAAAGCGAGTGACTTCAGAGGGATTGAAGCAGGCACAGAGGCCGGAGGATGAGGTGAAGAACCAAGCTACTGTATGCTCTAATGTGAGGTGATGCGTGAGTTTGTTGGTTTGTTGCGTGTGAGTACATGTAAGTCTACCTTATGTTGTACATGGCCGGCAGCGTTTAGTAAAGCATGTGGCGTCGTGAAACGTGAAACCTCTCACACACAGCCATTTTCCTCGGGCTCTGCAGCTCTATCTCTCTCTCTCTCTCTCCGACGTACAAAGGTGAAAAGAAGACTAACGCTTCATGTCAGGGCGTTACAGCTGATTCGCTGGATTCCGAACATTGAATGGGTATCGAAACTGTAGGTATTTTCCTTGCGTGCTTGTACGAGATGGGGCTGGCATCAAATCAGGCCAGGGCGATAAATATTTTCCTTTCTTTTTTCGGTGGTTTCACAAAGAGCGCTGCAGGCGCGGACGGATTTGGAGGGGTCCCTCCCCTTCCCGCCGCCCCTTCTTAGGGAAATCACGGGACTCGCGGAAAGTGATAATACGAGAAAGGAGAAGTCAGGAGCGTAAAGGTAAGATCAGGTCAGGTCAGGTACCTGCAGTTCCTGAGCAACCCACACCAAAAGCTCAAGTATGGATGCTGTGGCGTAATCGTTCATCAAGAAAAAACGAGGCCAGCCGCAGTCTCCGGACCCCAACGACACACCAACACAACAATGACATTGACATAATGGAGCAAACACCGAAAAGGCGGAGTGGGCTAAATGTTTAGAGACCTCCATCCTCGGCCGGCCTGACGGGATACATGGACCACACTCACACTCACATTCATACACATAATATCCGGAATGGATGCTCTACTCCACAGGAACTAGACACGTCCCCTACCTTAGTTTACCCATGGCCCGCCGCGCCGCCCGTCACAGAGGCACACCTTGGGCAGTCCAAGTTTGAGTGCGACCCTTCTTTTTTTCCCCTCGGTGGCAGGCCTCGCCGTCCTTTCGCGCTACCTTACCTTACGGGCCTGGCTCATGGGAACGTCGGCGAAGCTGTGGTAGCCACGCAGACGCACGCCAACGGCGCAACCTCTTCGCACAGGTGGGATGGACACACCACCACTACACTACTACCTCTCTTCTTGAGGTGCTCTGCGAAAGTGGGTTGCCTGGTTGCATATTCGGGCAATGGACCAGCGCCTCCCGATCTCGATAATGGGAGCTGCAGATCTCCTCGTCCACCTTACCTACGTCCGTCCTACCCTCAAAGTCCCTGCGTACGTACAGCAGCACTGGTTCTATCCCGCCCTTTCCATTGTCTTTGGGACTTTCTTCTTTTTTTCTCCTTTTCTGCCCACACTCGGAAGGGGGACCCTCAATGTCAGGTACTTGCACGAGAACCCCAGTGTACTTTGACAACGGGGCGGAACATTGGCATGCTACTACTAGTTACTGATGATGCCTTGCAGTTGCTTTCCCACCCTTCATGCCATGCGGGTGTCTAACCTTGCTGCTCTCCTGACTTGTCCTCAGACTAGGTTGCTGCTACATGCAAGCCGCAAATGCATGACCCGTGGACTGTTGGAAGCTCTTTTGCCAATTGCTCTTTCCGCAGGTGGTTGAGATAAACCTCCTTTTCCTGTCTCTGTCTCTCACATCTTGGCAGGACGTAAACCTTCATTAATTCCCGGAAACAAAAAAAAAGCAAAGAACCATATTGGCAGGTAGATACGGACATGGATCGCTGGTCCACGTTGCCCGTGTCAAGGCCGAAAGTGATCGACTGCCGGTGTCAGGATACCTCCTTGAAGGCCCCTTGACTGGTCGTGACAGAAGAACCCAAGACAGCTGGATAGGGGGGGTAATAGAACTGGTCGGAGCCATTAGCATGGTCATCCGATGAAGTAACCTTGGTCTTGCTGAGACGTTGACGTGAAGGGGGAAGCAAGTCAGTCCTTCCAAGGGGGTGTGAAGTTTGATAGGTACAAGACAACAACCATTACTACACCATAAGCTCGACCTCGACAACCAACCCAACCAAAGGGGGCCTACAATACGTTTCCGCACCATTTCCCCCCTCTCATATCGAGTGCTCCTAGGGAGTTGGGCGTGCCGAAAGTCAGATTAACATCTGCCAGTGTGCTACGGCAAAATCCTGACAAGTGACTGGGCCCGATGCAAGGTGCGGCAGGTGTCTAGAGGTTGATTGAGGGCGAACCAGAGTGGGAAGCGAGACTCGTCGTGATTGCGATGTCACTGGGCCTCGCGTCCCATGCACAAGCCTCGTAGCTTTGTGTGAGATGACAGCCAGTCGCAACGGCCACTGGACGAAGAAGGGGGGGAGGGTGTGCAGATTCACAACGTGTGGACTGCAGCACAACACAAGACGAGACCCAGGAAAGGCCGCCGTCGACAGGGAACAGGGCTCGCACGCCCGGTTGCTTCAAGCCGGGCCAAGGACGGCCGGCGCTCAGAAGGGATGTCAGTTGCCCACCCTCAGGCACGGGACATGAGACTTGGGGTGTGAGGTTGGCGAGTCAAACTCCGCCTTTTGGTACGGCTGTTGCTGTTACAATGTTAATAGAGCTTGAGGCGGCAGGAAGCTATCATGGATGTCAGCAACGAGGCCAAGCTCAGCCCGTCAATGAGCGTGAGGGTGGGAGAGCGACCAAAGAGGGCATGGGCTTGCCATGTCAGCGTCGCTAGGTTCGTAGGGCCTGTTACTGCAGCATAGAATAGGAAGGCAGAAAGATATTGGGATGGGATGGCGTAGATCCATCATCCAAGGGTGTGTGACTTTCTCGTTTGCTCGGCACTTTTTGGCGGAGCTGGGAGGCGTTAGATGCAAACGACCTTGCGCGGCGCAATCGAAGCGTGATGCCTATGGAGATGTG